ACCTTTCTAGTCTGATGGCTAATATCAGTAGGAGCTTCTTCCGAGTGTGGCAGTTCGATTATAGATCAGACCTAATATGATTAATTGTAAGCTAGAAGTTCAAGTAAGTCCTATTTTTCTAGCGAACACTCTAGTAAACAATATTGTCGGCAGATGTGTCAGTAAGCGAACGAACTTATAATAAAAGTTTTAAGGAGTATAGCGCGTTTTCACGAAAGTGTCGCGAATGAGCTTTGCTTTATTACCTCTCAGAAAACTGAATATAAGCTCCTTTTTTGTGTACATATGGATATCCTCGCCATAGTGTGGTTGCTTAGATTTATAGCAGTGTCAATGTGAGGGTATCAATTTCATTGGATGCATTCGTGACAAAATGTTCATCCGGGCCAGCATACAATTATGCACAATGGGATTGACGTCAATTTCAGCGTACACATACCTACCCACCCTTTTGAAACATGGGATACTAGCTGGGTTGAAGACTGTCGATTGGAAGAAAAAATGGAAAGGGCCGAATATGCAGTCGAGGGTCAAGCGAGTCGCACAGACGAGCGTTACTTGTGTATATATGTTCAATAAAAAAGTTTAATTGATGTTTAAAAAAATTGAGAACCTATTTTGAATTTATTCTGAGTTTAAGAACGACTATCAAATGCAATGAACTTTTTTAAGTCATGTTCGTTAGTAGTTATATGTACATGTTGACGTTCCCCAGGAGTTAATTCGGCATTGATGAGTTGTTCAGCATTGTGTTGATCAACTACAAACAACATGCATTCATTGTTGAATCCAAGCATTCTCACACTTTTAATGAAACGTGCACCTGCATTTCGAGCCGATTGTTCATTAGCGCGATACATATCACTAACAATGCGAAATGTATGTTGATTTTTCAGACGTTGTCCAAATGGTGATCGAAGAAATGAGAGTGCATTATTAGTGTCTGATTTTTGTATGAAACGTATGTTTTTTGTCACATCTTTTGCTTCGGCATAGATCATGTATCCTATACTATCCCAATTGTCTTGAAATATGTGATCATCAACCCATAAGATAGACGACGTTGATAAACCTAATTCTACTTGTCGCATATAAATTGTATGCTGTGATCCATGATGAGAAACCACATGTTTTAAGACGAGAAATGTAGAATCAGGTAAAAACAATATTTCATCTTCATCTTCAAAATTTGAAAACGTTTTAATTGGACGACCAGTTAATGAATAGATTCTAAAATATGTGTTTCGACTAGAAAAATCAAAATCATTACGAATTGCTTTGCCTTGAAATGTACCATTAAATTGACTCCATATAATTACAGAACCTGCTATATAAAATTTCAGTTCTTCATCGGTCAGACGACAAGATCGTGATACATAACCTCGATAATATGATATTTTCGAAATTCCTCTTAGTAGATAATTGCATATGACAAGAGTTTCAACTGATTCTTCTTCTTCTTTTTTATCGATTAATATTCTCTTACTACGATATTCAATCTTTTTTCTACTGTCCCTTCCTTGATCAGCAACTCCACTCATCGTACCAGTATAAAAAGATATAGCTAATGATGCTGCTTTAGCTTCATCCTGTGATAAACCCTTGTTTGTAAAATATGAATTAGTTTTATCAACACGTTGACTGTGCTCCATCATCGTCCGATAAATATCAGCACCTCTTTTTGCTTCATGTTTACGACAGATGTCTTGTAAATTTTTATATGATGCTCTGTCTTGCATGAGCCTATAGAAAGCGTCATTGAAATAACTTCCATATTTTTTAGATGAGCATTGTGTGTTTTTATCTTCTTTAAAATTGCAATGCAATGTCATATGTTCTAATATCAACTCAATATCTTCTTTTTCCATCATTGGAATACTTGAAGCCGCTTCAAGTTCATCTTTGGTTAGATCTTGGAAGTTCAATTTCTTTAGGAAGTTTTCCCATTCAATATTACTTTTCACTGAAGTTATTCGTGTCTTATAACAATCTTGTCCTGTAAGGGTGTTTGATGTTGATAGTAAATTGTGTTGACAATGATGAGATATATCAGTAACGTTTCTTGACATTTGTATAGATTTATTTATCTAAAATTAAACACATTAATTAAAGAAATATCATATCTATCTATCTATATATATATGAACAATTTTAAAATACTTTCTTAAATGAAAGTATGAATGTAGAATATATTTAAAGCTTAAAACACAAAAAAAATTGGTCTTCCTACTTTTACGAGTCAAAGTACTTTTTGTTGTAATAGATAGTATATGTCCCAATCTCTCAAGTGTTCTTGTCAAAAGTAAACAGCTACTCTAAAAACTTTTTAAAACAAATCATATTTTCGCAGCTGAAGAAACAATATTTAAAAAAAGTATTTCTTTGTTTTCCTCCTCAAGTCAAATAGGAGTTCAATTCTTACATTTAAATTTCTTATTCATGAATTGAACTTCGATGAATTCATATAGATTATTTAAACTTTTAATACAATCGGAACGTATTCGTCGTGGAGTTCGTAGAAGCTTACAAACTGTACTATTTCCTACGAAAATAGAGTTCAAGATGATACTCATCTGAATTGTTTATTTTTCTGGTGACTGAAAAACTACTGAAGAAACGAAAATGCAAGATACCTGATTTTCCATTCGTTTGCGTCTTTATAAAATTTCATTGTATTTACTTTTACTGATGAAAACAGTCGACATGTACGAGGTCAACGACTAAAAAATAACTCTCAAGCGCAATTTTTCGAATAACAAATGTCGTTTCTTTCTCTTTCAGTTGTGGTTGTGGGTTGCAAAAACACACGCTCATCCACACCCTCAAGTTTCGAAGTATAATTATTGTCAGTTAAGTTAATCTATATTAATTATCTTTTTTAAAAAATAATAACTACATAGAAAAATGTTTTTGCAAATGATTTCATAAATTGATTTTTTGATTCAATTTGTTCAACGTGAAATATTCGTGAAATAACAAACGTTTTTTTCTTGCTCTGGAACAGAATGTTTGAATTGTACTAATCAATTTTTATCAGTCTTCTTTATTAATATATTAATTATCATTACGATCTGTTTACTTTTACCGTTAACTTTCATTAATACAAAATTTAAAGAAAAGTAGCTAATATTTAGTCACTCACTAAAAGAAAAATAAATTCTCTTCAATATTATGTTTGTTGATGGGAGAAAACAACTGGAACATAAAAACAAGTTAACGCGACGTAAACGTCGCCAACCCTCTACTGAAAGGATGCAATGTTCCAGAATTTAACGAATCCGAGTAGGGGTGGCACTTTAACTTTTTTTATTTTAACACAGTAAAGTAAACTAAAGCATTTGACTTTACTTTACTGAGTAAAGTTAGCCTACTTTACTTTACTCGATAAAGTAAAGTGGACCTACTTTACTCGAAAAGCAAAGTAAAATAAAGTATCTCTTGCTTTATCGGAAAAAGCAAGATGAAGTAAAACAAGATAAAGTGAAGCATGTAGTTGATGATTGTTGATATATAAGTTCATTATCACACATTAATAGCATTCCAATACGTCAAAAGTTGTCTCCAACTACGAACCGACGATCTCGAAAAGCTTAACCAAAGTTTTTTACTTTCAGAAACAGCATTGAACCCTGCCTATTTTGGATAATTTTATTTTCTATCTTATGAAAACCCAATTTTTCATACCTGGAATCTCCCTTGAGCATAAAAAAGAGCTTTTACTGTTCTATTGCAAGTCTTTATGGTTCAATAGTAACAAGTGCGTCGATTTGATTCCTAATGTCTCACTTGTTCTCAAAAGTACTCAAAAAGTCAGAATGTTGAGGCATATGTATGAGATGGCTAGAAAGGGTGCTGCTCTTCCACTGACAACAAGGAGAGCGTACCAATTACCTTGAAATTATCATTGTCTTTCTAGCATATTATATAACTCTAGGTATTTAATTGAAGAGGAGTGAATGTGCTTTTGAGCTCAAATAAAACTATTTGAAAAGTAATTCCTGTTTGAAATAAAAGGGTTCCTACAGGGCCACAATCAACAATTACTTACATCTATTAGGAGTTTAGAGTAATATCTAATACAACATTGTAGAGGATGTATTGATAGAAAAGATCAAATCGAACCGAGCTTTACGGCTTCGAGTTCGGTTCTGTTCATCCTTCTTTTCTAAAGAAGAGTACAGGTCTCAGCTTATAATTGTTTTCTTAAAATCATTTTAGATTCTGTTGGGTTCAAGTGTAATGCATAAAATCGGAATGCCGGATGCAAGTGTGTAGTTTGGGTGTGAAAGGGGACAAGGCGTCTGCTCACATTCCAGTATTTGATGTTGTCTGACGTTCTGTTTGAAATCTTGATTTTTCAAATGTTTGTAGTATGCGTTGCAACATTTATGGACTTTTGCTACAAAAATTAGTTAAGAAGCCCGTGCGACTCTGAGTATTTTTACGATCGAAAAACGTCTGTAACAAATCATTTTACATTCTCGAACTACAATATTTTCTCCCGTTATCTTTGTATGCTATTCTACTTTGTATCAAATTAATTACTGAGTAAAGATTTGACATAAGAGTTTTATTAGTGTGATCTGTACACCAAAATGAAATAAAACTTTCATGTCATATCTCTACTCAACAATAAATTTAATACAAAGTTTGACATCATAAAAAGATAAAGATGAGAAAGATTTATGTTCGAGGATGAAGATCCTGCAAGGAAACCGATGCATGGCTTTTTTCATATATTTAATTCCTAAGAAAGAGTCAAAGAATGTTTTTAAAATGAAATGGTCAATCTAAACATAAAATTTAGCGTGCTTTTGCTGTTTATTTATTTGTTTGAAACTTGAAGGACTAGAATATGAGTGGTTACTGTATTTAAATCGCCAAAAAATGTTGACAGAAGGCTATAGTTGAGACGCTATATCTGAACAAGAGTCTAAACACGCATCTTTGAGCATCGACTGAAAATAGATAATGACATATTCTACAGAAAAAAAAACAAATTAAAACTTGAATTGAAGTTCCGAGGAAATATCATGAAATAACTGCACTATTGATCAGTGCTTATGTTTTTTGTTTTACCGAGTTTATGTATTTGATTTTATTATAGCCT